ATCAGTGGACACGCATCACCAGCCCTTCATTCAATCAATATATCATTATCTCATTCAATCATTCACTCAGTCATTCATACACTCAATGAAACATAAATTCATTCATCCTCTCACTCATTCAAACAATGTAATTAATCAAAATGCACACACTGTGAAGCCCAATTCGATCTGCAACAGCACATATCTTTCACACATATGTGAGACAAGACTAATTCACTTCACTAGATTTCTTCATTCATTCTACATTTTCCCCATTTCTCCCTTCTTCGTTTCTTTGTTTCCTTGTTTGTTTTGCACAGAAAAAGAAGGAAGAGGAGGTGAGATGATCACCTGGATCAGTATGATTATGTTTGTTCTTATTCGAACAGTTATAATTATTATAATAATATTATCATTTTCATTATCATTATCATTATTCACAATCAAAAATGATAGTATGAATAATATTCAGGATAACTGTAACAATAATATTAATAATAATAATAATAATGATAAGATTCATGTGATACACCAGACCAAGCTTCTACCACACATTGGCCATCATGCTGTGTTCTCTTCCCAATTCGATCAATTTGATCAGTCTCCAAGCCACAACGAGCATTTCCTATTCCCATTGTTCTTCTTAGTCTTATTATTTAATACGCCCACATTATTCAACTAGTTAGATCAATTTGCAATTTGCTCGTCCATTGATTCTCATTTCCCAACAGATAGAATATCTATCTACCTACCTATCCCATTCCACATTCGAATGGAGAATGAGGGAGAGCAATTGTGTGTCCTGACAAATTATTCTAACCAATGTTCAAATGGAATAGATTTCCACACACACACACACACACACACACACAATTCTACAATGATGTGATCAGTGGACACGCATCTCCAGCCCTTCATTCAATCAATATATCATTATCTCATTCAATCATTCACTCAGTCATTCATACACTCAATGAAACATAAATTCATTCATCCTCTCACTCATTCAAACAATGTAATTATTCAAAATGCACGCACTGTGAAGCCCAATTCGATCTGCAACAGCATATATCACTCACACATATGTGAGACAAGACTAATTCACTTCACTAGATTTCTTCATTCATTCTACATTTTCCCCATTTCTCCCTTCTTCGTTTCTCTGTTTCCTTGTTTGTTTTGCACAGAAAACGAAGGAAGAGGAGGTGAGATGATCACCTGGATCAGTATGATTATGTTTGTTCTTATTCGAACAGTTATAATTATTATAATAATATTATCATTTTCATTATCATTATCATTATTCACAATCAAAAATGATAGTATGAATAATATTCAGGATAACTCTAACAATAATAATAATAATAATAATAATAATAATAATAAGATTCATGTGATACACCAGACCAAGCTTCTACCACACATTGGCCATCATGCTCTGTTCTCTTCCCAATTCGATCAATTTGATCAGTCTCCAAGCCACAACGAGCATTTCCTATTCCCATTGTTCTTCTTAGTCTTATTATTTAATACGCCCACATTATTCAACTAGTTAGATCAATTTGCAATTTGCTCGTCCATTGATTCTCATTTCCCAACAGATAGAATATCTATCTACCTACCTATCCCATTCCACATTCAAATGGAGAATGAGGGAGAGCAATTGTGTGTCCTGACAAATTATTCTCACCAATGTTCCAATAGAATAGATTTCCACACACACACACACACACACACACACACACACACACACAATTCTACAATGATGTGATCAGTGGACACGCATCACCAGCCATTCATTCAATCAATATATCGTTATCTCATTCAATCATTCACTCAGTCATTCATACACTCAATGAAACATAAATTCATTCATCCTCTCACTCATTCAAACAATGTAATTATTCAAAATGCACGCACTGTGAAGCCCAATTCGATCTGCAACAGCACATATCACTCACACATATGTGAGACAAGACTAATTCACTGCACAAGCTTTCCACATTCATTCTACATTTTCCCCATTTCTCCCTTCTTCGTTTCTTTGTTTCCTTGTTTGTTTTGCACAGAAAAAGAAGGAAGAGGAGGTGAGATGATCACCTGGATCAGTATGATTATGTTTGTTCTCATTCGAACAGTTATAATTATTGTGATAATATTATCATTTTCATTATCATCATCATTATTCATATTCGAAAATGATAGTATGAATAATATTCAGGATAACTGTAACAATAATATTAATAATAATAATAATAATGATAAGATTCATGTGATACACCAGACCAAGCTTCTACCACACATTGGCCATCATGCTCTGTTCTCTTCCCAATTCGATCAATTTGATCAGTCTCCAAGCCACAACGAGCATTTCCTATTCCCATTGTTCATCTTAGTCTTATTATTTAATACGCCCACATTATTCAACTAGTTAGATCAATTTGCAATTTGCTCGTCCATTGATTCTCATTTCCCAACAGATAGAATATCTATCTACCTACCTATCCCATTCCACATTCGAATGGAGAATGAGGGAGAGCAATTGTGTGTCCTGACAAATTAGTCTAACCAATGTTCAAATGGAATAGATTTCCACACACACACACACACACACACACACAATTCTACAATGATGTGATCAGTGGACACGCATCACCAGCCATTCATTCAATCAATATATCGTTATCTCATTCAATCATTCACTCAGTCATTCATACACTCAATGAAACATAAATTCATTCATCCTCTCACTCATTCAAACAATGTAATTATTCAAAATGCACGCACTGTGAAGCCCAATTCGATCTGCAACAGCACATATCACTCACACATATGTGAGACAAGACTAATTCACTGCACAAGCTTTCCACATTCATTCTACATTTTCCCCATTTCTCCCTTATTCGTTTCTTTGTTCCTTGATTTTTCTCATAAATTTTTGGAATTTTTTTCTGATCAAATACTTCTTGATTTTTTTGCTGTGCTTTTTTATTCACTTTGCTCGCCGTTTCCTTTTATTTTCCCATCTCTGACATATATATATATATGTTTTTCTTTTTTCGCTTATCTCACTTCTTCGCTCTCACCTCCCGCCTCTTTTCTTCATTTTTATCTATCTTTTTTCCTTCCATTTTTTCTTTTCCTTGTTTTTTTTGTTGTTTTCCCTCTCTTTCGGTTTCGTCTTCCGTGATTTTCCCGGTGAATTTTGTCTGTTTATTTCTTCAACTCTTTCGCGTCTTTTCTCTTCTCGTTTTTCTTCATTCTCCACATATCCACCTTCTGTTTGATTCCTCCTTCTGCAATGTTCATATCGTTATTTGCTTTTATATTTTGTACTTCTTTTTAAGTCTTTTTATAAATCTTTTTTCCATCCCTCTGTCCCATATTGCTTAGATCTTCAGCTTTCCTACGAATTCATACCTTCTAAATTTGTTGCACTCCTTTGTGAACCGCTATAACTTTCCATCTTAAGACATCAGTTCATATTCGACTTTCAAGCAAAATAATTAAATTTTATTCTCCTTTGGATTTCTTTTCACACAAATTACCATTTACATACATCATTTTACAAAGCTCATATGTATCTTAGTGAACATGCCCCCTCTAGATATTTACACAGAAATGTATCAAGTCGTCTTTTGCATTACTCAAGAAACGCTTTATCTATGCGCTCAGTTAAACCTGTTTTAGGGATGATGTGCTAAAGTTGCGAGTTTCAACTGTGCAATGCACACTCCAACGAGAATGCGTCAATCACAGCTTCATAAACACTCTGTAAAGATTTATTGAACTTGGACAGAAAAATTCAGCTCGCCATATCGAGGATCTGCATTATATGTGTTCACTCCAGGTCCCATGCTCCCAATCCTAACTTCATCTTGTAATAACAAAACTATTTGCTTCCGTTTCATGCAGTGTCACCACTAAAATCCATGCTGATCATACCCTTGGCTTCCCCAACCGCGTAGCATTTGTCGTTCAGTCGTACTGCTTCACGCAGTTCTTTCCTCTCTTGATTCTACGACAGATGTCGATTAAACCCAATTCTTATGAGTCTAACTGTTGTTCTTATCTGTTTGAGTTGATTGTTCACGTGACCTTTTCCCCCGGTTCTGGGATCCATGTGGCAACTTGTTGTTCATTTTTTATCGCGTGACGCAGTTCTCTTCAGTCTTGTCTCTATGACAAGTGCCGATGCACACCAGTTCTCATCAATCAAACTGTTATGCTTATCTGTTCCAGTTTATGGTTTACGTAACCTCCGCCCCCCCCCCGTCGGTCTCATCTCTGTGATCGATTAGACTTAGCCATCCCCCACTGAGCTCGCTCTTTCTGATAACCACGTTAAGCCGCTTTTCTTCATCAATGCTTGTGTGTGAGTTACCTTGAATTATTATCTCCCTTCTGTTCGTTGACTGGCCAAAGAGCTCCCATGAGCAAGGACCCAGTTCGTAAGCTACTTGACTCGTTCCTGTTTTGCCGTCTCGAACGTTTCCTATCTATTTTTGCTTGGGCGTCTTGAAGCCTTTCTTGACTGAATTGATTCTTTGGTCGGTTTGTTCACAGTTTGAGTTATGTTATCGTTATTGTTTGACAATCTGTCCTCTTTTCCACGCAGTAAAGTGAGCTGGTGTACTCTATCTTGGGACTTGGGGTTCGTTTATCTGCGAGTCACTCAATTACAGGACCAAAATCCTGTACACACTCCGTCGAACACATTGGCCATTGATCGTGATAAAAATCATGCCGGTTGTTTCGTTTAAAATATGGTTTAATTGTTGGCTCAATGCCATACGAGTAAATCTCTCCTGCTCTTCTGAAATGCATTCCAAAATGGTATGTTCCGCTCTCTGACAGACCTGTTTCGCTCTTTGAGGAAACCACGGGTTGCGGTTTTCACTGGTATACTCGACAAATTGGAATTCTTGTTTAAATTACCTTACCATACTTACGAACATAACAACACAGTTTGAAGTAACACCTACTTATCATTCTACCTTCATTAACTGCTGGACGAACAGACACTTGTAACAGGTAAGCCATTCTTGATAAATGAATCTGTCCTCGCTTTGTTTTATGAAGAACGATTAGTTTCTCGAATGGTTTGGAGTTATAATGATCGTACTGCAATCAGTTTCGAATTTCCATAATCGTTTCGTGATAACAGTCAATTCAGATATTGAATACTGGTTTTTAATTTAATTTTCGCTCTCGACTTTTACCGCTTTCGAATAAATGTGCCCCGTAATTATGACACAGTTGTTGCACGGAAGTGTACCGATTCGATAATCTGTTCCCATTTTACCCCTCCTTTCAGGAGGCACTTCGCGATTCACCGATCAAATGGTTCTGCTCACCCCTGCTCTAATGAGTCTCAGATTGATCCATTAAGGAACACATTCTTTTGCTCCAGATAACAGGAAAACATATAATGCTATTACATCTTAACTAATAAATAATTTGTCAGACTTTCGAGCAACCTGCGTTTTCCAATTCTTTTCATCAACTTCCGCTTATTACAGGATAAAACTAGATTCCAATGCCTTTGGGAAAGCTCTTCCAGATCAACACACAGCTGAGCGGTTTACTCTACGATTTCTCGTGCCTAAAACCGATATGACATCATAGACAATGTTTTATTGATACCAAATCTGCATTTCAACTTCATTAGAACAACTGAACAATGACAAATAAAGAGGTTCGAATGGATCTCACTTTTTGCAAAAACCTAGTGAAGCGTTTCAGACACAATGCATATCCATGAGTCTTTGTGGGGGTATTGGCAAACATCCAATTTGTCTCATAGTAGGCGACCGAACAGAAGTGGATTCAAACTCTGTACAGAGGAAAATGTGCTCCACAACGGATATATTTGGGACTCCGAAGCAGGTTAAAATCTGTCGACAATTTATTTCGTGCTTTGAATCAGTTAAACAGTGAGTGAAGTTGTTGGGATCAATACGAAGATACCAGTGGTCTGGTGATTCTTTTCGACATTCAGAATCAATAAATGCCTAACATCAGCTTCCAACAACCACCGAGCATTATTGGAAGCACATCAATATCTGGTTTTGAATATCTAAAGCCACAAATCATTTTGATCCTAACAACCGCTGGACCGAAATTTATCCAGATTCCACCTTTGACAAATGATTGCGACATCAGCACACTTATACAGATCCGAAGGGGTTAGACAGCAGGTCGCCAACTCAAGTGAGAAAAAGAAAGGACCAAATCACAGCAGCTTCAAAAGCGCCAGGCGTTTACTAGAAACCTGGATGACTTACCATCGAATCTAGATTTTAGGAAACATTCTCAAATGTGGTCAGTGTGCCACGCTAACAAACTAGGTGAGCGACCAAGATAATGACGTTTCTGTGAGAACAGTGGTCTCGGAATGAAGTCAAAGTTTGAAGATTAGTCGTGAAATAAACGGGTCATAAGTCTAAGAGAGTATCTTGATAATTTGCGGTTGGAATAGACTTCACAGAATACACCACAATGTCCGAATCGGTATGTGCGTCAGTTGAGTGCAGATGTGAAATTTATTTACTGGAAAATAAATGCTGGTGTTTTGGCACTCTCATGTCGAAGTACTTCGGCCGGCTGTTGGGTAAAATTTCACTTACGAACGATACCCCAAGAGAGGTGGTTCCATTCCACGAACTGTGGATTCAATAACAAGTTCCAATTGTACCAGCAGCATTACACATTTGGTTTACTGATGTATCAATTCTGTTCAAATTTTCTGGTGCGATGCAGAAATAAAATGACATAATATTTTCATGTCAGTCCACACCATTCATTCTCACAATGTTAGATAGATGTACATGTCGAAAAGTAGAAAAATGGAAGTGAAGGTAGAATGGTAAATACCATTTGCACAGCCTGAGCCTTTCCAACATTTTTAACTGGGTTTGCATGGGCCAGATTGGAGTAAAGTGCCAGTTATTCTTGGGGAACACTTCCAATCCCTCACGGAACAGTAAAGGCAGGACTAAAAATTTTTATGTCTTAAATTTTAAGAGTGTCCTAAATATAGCTACAATGCTGCCACGTCAGTCATCTGATTTTATGAGAGAAACTGAAAAAATGCAAATTGAATCAATATGTTATTGGTGTTCAGCAGTACAAAGAACCAGTGAAGCGTTACATCCGTGAATTACTTTTGCAGTTAATTTTTATTCACATGGCAAAGTTGCGTGATGGAATATGTTCAACAAAGCGCTTCAGAATAGAACGTGCAGCAATAAAATAGCAAAAAGAAAATCCCGAAACGACAACATTATTTCACTGGTAAGCTCCCAAAGCTTCAACTCCATAACATCACATTTGAAACCAGGTCTTATCATTTGGAAAAAGTAATTCAGATATCTTATTCAGAACAAACAAATGGTCTTACCCAATTTCGTCCAATAAATCACATAATAAACGGTCGGGCAAAAACAAATTCATACTTTTATGAAACTTCCTCTAAAATACAAAACGGAATACAAAAATATGTATCACAACGAAAACATATGGTATCGTGGAATCTGCGAGCAATTTGTCTTCTGAGCTTGGTATGACGGTGTATTTGACACAAAGACGTTTCTACCAAAAGCTGTCTAGGAAGTAACGGGTTAAAAATATTTTTTAATGAAATGATTGAACATGCAGTACCGGCGGTTAGTTCTTATTTTTAAACCGGTGTAGCATTATACATTTATTTGTTCTACATAAGAGATGGTCGATTGTGCACATTCACCGAACTCGAAACAGTCGTACATGATTTCTTGAGTCACACCCAACACCAGTGGTCGATCCGGGGTCCGGTTCACAACATTTTGTATCATGTCAACACTGCACGATGTGGCCTTCAGTTATCGCGTAATCCGGGGAATTTTTATTCACACGTTTACGTCTTACATTCTACCAATATATATATATATATATTTATAAATATATATATATATATATATATCCATCTCTCTATCGTTTTGGATGAAGCATCTGCAGATGCTGAAATGGACACCATGCCAAGTATATTGGTGCAAGCTAGTAGAACTCATGAAAAAGAAATCTTTGCTAGAAAAATACGTTTAATTTGTAATCAGAAATCCAGTTGATTAGTTTCCAGAAAGATCAACAAAGCACTTCCAATTGATATTTTTAGTAGTGTTGTTCCGAACAATCCCGTCAGAAGCAGCTGGTATAGGTTACCACATAAGGATGAACACTATTACATTCTCAGTCCATGCCTGTACTAGAGTTTTGTTGTAGAGAAATACCTCATGGCTTCAAAGACCCACTGGACTAACAGTATTAAATGACGAAGTTGAATTGGTATGAAAAATTACACAAACTTTCAGTAGACCACTCATGGTAGCTAACCGTGAGTCACCGGTTCACCATCTTTCATGAATGCAACCGTAGGTGAGAGAGTTCGAACGTAGAGATTTGGGAGTGGCAAACATTCAAGAAACTTAGCCATCAGCAATGAAATAAGCTAAGTAAATCCAAGATATATGATGTTACATACACGTTTTCTGTCACTAAAACCACCAGACTGCACATGTTCGAACACCATATCCGAGGATTATTAAAAGTGGAATACATTATTCATGGTGCGTACTAAATGGTTAACAGCTCATGGGCTTGTTTCAGTAGATTTAACTAATGGGTCAATTGGGATACCACATTGTATAAACTGTGAATTGACTTGCTCATCAAGAAACGCTGGGTAAGTACTTGTTGATTGCGTCTAAATCTGACATCTCCTGGACGCGTCTTGAACTTGTACACTTGTGCTCCATTCGTGTTTTGAATTGATCACTATCCCTGACAACACCGGCTTTCAGCACAGAACTGTGGTCGTGTACACAAACACTAAAGACTGGTTAGTGTCGTATATAGGGTTTCAATTTAAACTCACAATTGATAATCATGCTTTGCTTGCGCTGACTTTGGTAACGATCTCGAAGGAAAAACCTTACACGGAAATAGTAAAACAGAGCTGTTAGGAAATGAGCGTACTCCGATGGTATTCTTCGATTAAACCAGTGTTTAAAGTTATTAAGGATTTCAGAAAGAGCGTTACTACTTCCTTCCTGGAAAACAAGCTTATATGCATGCCCACTTTGAGGATGAATAAAATTCTAGTTACTGGATGAGCAAGTGAGTGCCTTGTCAATACTATTAGTGCCCGAAGCACAATTCACCTATGTCATTTTCTTTCCACACAGAAATCGAATACATTGGCAGAAGCGATTGCCGTTATAGCCGCACAGTAGTTCACTACTATACAATGACTCAGTCCAATATATTTTCTTCCTCAGTGGAACAGAAATGCAACTGCCTTGTAGAAATTTTGCTTTAGACTTCTTGGTCGTTTTAACGTAAATGAAACACGATCCAGGTGTACGGCAACCCAGTAGAATAGCCGTTACGAGCACGTATGAACGGATTTTCGGAAACTCCAACCAACAGATTATACGATTCAGTTGAATCACATCCACGAGAAACAGAACCCTAATGTAGTATTTGATGCTGTATCTGAGTGTTAGAAGGTAATAAATCAAGAATTTATAAGTCTAACTTGATTACGCTCGTTTTCAGGCTGACCGTAAGAATGAAACGGAAACCCGTGATAACGAACGACAAGAACAGCAGTGTCCCAACAGCCCGTAAAGACGCGGAAAAATTGAAGCGCTTAGCCAAAGAGTGAAGACTAAGTAGGAGTAGCCACCCTCGATGGAATTATTTAAATTCAGTGAGCTTTTTATTAGGTGCAATCTACTTTGATAGAACAGCGGCCGTCAGACCAGCGAGACCCTTAATCCATAAGTTCAGCGTTGTGGTTGACAGCTTTCAAATTTCGTGTTTGTCGAGAGGTTCGAAGTGCGCACATCCCTAGACATGCACCCACATTTCAGATCGAATGCTGCTGTTGTGAATTGTATTCAAGAAGGTGTTCACTTACATCGACAAACGGAAAATATTTTGGAAGACTTTCTTCTGTTGGCCCAAGACTCCAATTGGTATTTGATTTCTTCCCTGCTCCTTAGTAGCCTTTCGAAAGCCACTCAACCTTTCAATACCCCGAAATGTCTATTCCTTAATGGATACAGTTAAAGTCCGACGTACATTTCAACACAGGTCATTTATGATTCTATGTTTCCCGTAGCTTCTTATCCAACATTCTGAAACCTTCTTCCAAACCAGCATCTTAGTCTACCACCCTGTCAAATTTCTCTGTGAAACCAAGTCCTTGAAATATCTGTAACGCGGTTACGGAAAGGCATACGGCACGACGGAAACGACAACAACAGCACAAACCACGACGGCGGGTTGATACGGACACAGAGACAAGCAGTGTTGTTGGATGTGCTGGATGCTATGTTCATCCGTGAGGGTTGCACCTGCACGATGTCCAAAGGCAGAGGAAGAATGATCACCGATGAGTAGAAACCCAGTTAGTGTACAAGCATGTACCAACAGTCACCGCAGAGAACTGCACTATTAGCATTCGTATCCGTCCCACCAATTCTAGCGAGAAACTTATTCTGCCTTCGGACATTCTCGGTTTATTAGGTCAAAAGTCACTGTTCATCTAAGAAGAAAAAATCATTGTCACTAATCGGTGTAACATAGATCGGTTGATTCAAACCTGCATTGGGTAGCCTTCAATCTGATTGGCTGATTGATGATGTTATAACAGGGACAACAAGACGTGGTAGGATACTTGTATCTTAGCGGCCAAACAAGTCCAGTCATGAACAACGTACAATCGTTTATACAGACCGTTTTCCAGACTGAGCGGCGCCAACACTGCTCTTGTTGCTGCTTGAGTGTTTTGGCTGCTTTCTGGCCAGTTGCTCGTGCCCAATAGCTTGCTTCTCTTGGGCATCATTTTTGTTCAGTTGGTCCGATTGTTTCACTTGTAGGCTTGATCGGCGGCTCCTCATTGAGGCTATCTTGTTGGTTGCCGGAGATCCTGCTGCTTCCCATCTTCTAGTCCGTATGCCTCCTTTTGTCTGCTTCGGGAAGCCTCCGACATATTCGCCGTTTGTTCTTTTGTCTGTGGCCCTCGTTTTTTAGTCTGTTCGCCTTGTTATTCACGTCGTTTCCTTATCCCAGCATTCCTCGTGACAGTACGACTAACCACCATGTGATAGAAAGCATTTCTCGTCTTATCGATCCGCCGTCCTATCAATCGCGGTTCCGTTGGTTCAAGCCATGACCTGGAATCTGGACGGATACTGACATGCCGTCTGCTAACGGGATTTGACTGTCTACTGATGTTGAGTCAGCACATACCCTCACAGGCGATCTATGCCAATGCGATACATACTACCATAAAATCCAACAAAAGTATCATGTTTTCTTGTAAAAGTACTTCGCATGAGTGTTTGCGAAAAAATCATGTAAAGTATAATGCACCATCTACTTGTGAATGTCCCCGAAATAAAAGCAGATCAATTATTCGTATCGCCAGTAGTCCGGCTCATATACGTTGGGCTTCGATGGTGAAGTTTCCTGGAAGTGTTTTGTCGTCGGAGAATAACGGTAGCCCAGCAGTAGCGCCGTTCACCCGGTGCATGTACATAAAAATTGGCTCCATCACTGAATAGTTGAGAACATGTACTCTGAGTCTGAGAAAGCATGTGACTAGTTTGAACTACACCTTACGGGTTAATGTAAACCTCCTCGCATTTGTTCAACAGTGGTGTTAAAGGATTTCTTAAAACGAAAAGCAATAACCCAAAGGAAAGATCAGGATGCACTCAGTCATCTACTGTGGAGGACCAAGTTGTAAAACATTAGATTCTTTCGGACGTGAGCGGAAAGAGAATGGAAAGTGGAAAACTAACGGAATTCACTCAGATTGTTTTGAAACAAATCTGATATTTCTTTGTCAGTGTGACGAAATCCAAACAAACGATCACTGGCTTATTTCAAGCCAATGAGATTAGGTGAAATAGGGGATTCACCAATATGAATTGAGAAAAGGAATATCAATTTCATCATATAGTGATGCTAAGTTAATCATTACCATTATCCGGTGGCAAGCTCCAAGTAGACTGATGTTTCAATTGTGTGTATGTGGAGTATATTCACTTGAAAGTAAACATCGATGTTCAGACACTTCCACGTCCGACATTTTGATAGGGAAATCACTTAGGAATAATACCCCGACAGAAGTTGTCTAACGTCATGAACTACAAATCTAATAAAGTGGTGATGTCGCTGAGCAATTTATCAATTCTAGAAAGGAAATGGGTTATTTCCAATAGATTAGTAAAATAATGTGTGACTTTTCTGATACAATACGAAACAGAAGGATATGATATAGTACTCTCATTCCGAAACTCTCATTCTTACATTGCTAGATGAAAGACTGGATAGTCAGACATTTTGTAGAGTAGAATAATGAAACTGAGGAGAAAATACTGAATAAAATTAGCGACTGATAGATGAGAACGACAGTAGCAGTGCCTAGTACAGTTATCGGAAAATGTGACACTCATTTAATTAGGGATGAGTTACGAAGTGGCCTTACGACGAGTCAGTCGGCTTCCATGTGTAACGCAATTCGCAACCAATTGTAATAAACTAGCGAACAAGTGTAAAATCAGCATAAGCAACGACGACAGTAAGAGCATCTCATTACACTACTTCGCCTATTTAAAAAATATTTGAGGTAGCCTGGTCGTCCGCCAGAGAAAGGTCTTCATTGATTTCACTCCTCAGTCCACGGTGATGACCTGAATTTTGGCTACTGATTATTTTTCGCAGTAGCAGAAACTGTAATTCGCCCGGCATGAATTGGATACGGAATTGCGGAACTGAGTGTAGAAATAACTTCACCACAGATCAGAATGGCTTCATAAATGGAAGATAGAAGAACAAGACAGCTGTTGGAAACTGTCTCAGAGATCAGATCAGTATTCAATTTTGTATATGTCTGCGACGCATCGGTTACGGGATTATATACGTTCACTATTTATCTTGGAATGCATATTAGGTAATGATCAAGCAAGGTCAGCAGATGATACGACAAAACGTTTGAGAACTAACTATTTTCTCACTTAACAGTTTGGTTGTGCAATTTTCAAGCCCCATTATCATCAGTATTAAATGCTATGCTGAGTGTTTGGCAAATAATGGGAATCGTCAGCGTCAACAATATAGGCTTAATTTAAATGACCCAAACAACAGTAAAATTATCGTCTGCAGGAGAATAAACCATGGACAGGCTTACTCGAGTGTGAACAATGTCTGTCAGGTAACCACTGATTGCTTCTGGGATTTGAAGAATTGGCTATTTCGGGGTTTACTGGAGGTTCTTCAATAGAAAATGTTTGAAAATCACCACAAGTCATATTTAGTATAGGTTAATATACGAATCCTCGTTCAACATTTAATCCGATCTTAGAAACCGTCAAGGTCTGTTGAAGTCTTCCATATTTGCGATCTTTGTCGATGAATATCAACAGTGTATTAATTTAGCTTCGAGCACTTCAGTATTTTCCCCTCTATTATGCATGTGTACTTTGTTCAGTCAGAAATAGGACAACCACAGTCACTTGGTCAATTCACAGAATACAGTTTCTGGCGTACTTTGGTTAGTCCCATTGATTTCATTCAGCTGTACCTGTTGGATTGGGAATCAGCTTAAGCATGGAAACACGTTTAACAGGCGAGAAATGTGTTGTGAGAACATGCACATACTCGTACCGATCAATATGCAACAGAATATGACCGCCGACTGTCATCAGCACAAGACAGGACGTGACTGGCCTACCGGAGAAGCAAATTACACACAACAGGCAGGCATCGAATATGCAAATACATGCACACACCCTGTTAGCAGAAAATTAGCAAAGCCAGCGATTCACCAGTATTCCTAAGCATTGCACCATTGGTGATATCGTATTCAGTTGTCTGTGGAATGGCAACTGTCCACAAACATATACATGAGTGCACTTATATCTCTGGACATTCATGTAATCATTTTGTTGTGTTGCTTCTTGTGAAATTCGTGCGCTAATGAATGTTAATCGCTTTATAACATTAGCCATTCATCTTCAGCTTCTGGGAGTATATTGCTGTGCCTAAAGGGACTAAGTGGAAGAGCTACTGGAGGTACAAGAAAGCCCTCAGTGCGAAGAAATACCTCATTTGTGTCGAGGCCACATTATGAGAGCACCGACTTTCGTGTCCTAAATTACAATCAACAGGAATGATAAAAACCAAATGTATTCAATGATTTATTTAATCTTAATGGATAATAGATTCGGTTAATCCTGGTGTCCATGCTATTAAAGTAGAGCCAAAAGAGTTTAGGTCAGCAGCAGATTTGAGGTCTGTGGATTTCTTAAGAAACGATCTACTCACTACCAGCTCATCACGGTCGACCATTCATATAGGTTAGTATATTTGGGTATTATTTTACTTTTTTAAGCCGGCCAAGAAAAACAGCTGGGAGGAACCGTGAGTGCCGAAATCAACTTGGATGCTCATTTTTTGCAGTCTTTGTTCGATGATTTTATAAAATCCATGCCAACCACGAAGCAACGTCCTGAGGTGCAGCATACTTTGAGCTATCACTTGCTAGGTACTTCGAGTCACCTATGGAAAATGTCTCGTACACAGCGAATGTGAGATGCACCAATCGGTTTCCCTATAAATTGTACATCGAATAAGTCAGTTGGTTCATCAAGATATCCGCATTACCAGCAGAATAATCATGCGAAAGAATTTGTGAAGTCAGTAACATACATTTCCAAAGGAAGGTAATGTTACTCCGGATGATATTTTAATTCCCTTTTGTGTCATACGCATTCATTCTAAGTTCTGTGTCTTTCACTCCATTATGCAACCAGATGAAATTATCAATACCCTCATAAAAATTTAAAGTTGATGGATAACATACCTTCGTACTGTCTTAACGTTTTGGGCAATACTTTTGCACGGTTTGCCATCAAATCTTCTGTCGTTCGATGGTGCACCACTGGACACACTCACTGCACCCACTCACCACCATTTGCAAAGGTTTATCGCTTTCCAATAACTCCTTTTACGTCATTGTTTCAATTTTGCATAGGCTAACCTTAATTTGTATTCTTCAACTTTGATTTTCTAGATGGATAATTTTTCATTGAGTTTGACTACAGACGGCGTCCAGTGAGTACAATGTGGTGCTTACCGTCTGCTGGTTTGGAAGTGCGCAACGGAATGCCTTTCAAAAACAGAGGTTCATTGTTGTCGGTAAGGGTAAATCAATAAAATTCGTTGTCTCTGGCTAAACCACAGATGCTATTCGTTCCATCCCAAGGTTTGAAGAAGGACCGGTATCTCTTGTTGGAAGACAAAGCGTTGGTTTATCTACGTCAGAAGTCGAGGCGATGTAAGACGAGAGCAGAGGTATGTAAACTATCACTCCTTTCGAAATAACTGTCACTCTGCTCTTTCTTTTGGAAATGTTTTATTCCTTCAGTGTATTCAACACCTCTTAAGGCATTCTGATGATTGACAACTTATGTTCGATCGCAACTATAAGTGTTCCTCAGATTTCGTTCGCAGTTTATACGTGATTGTACTTCACAGTCCTATTTTTCGAGTAATTATCATCCAAGTTGTCTAACATACTGTTTTCTTTTTTTATTTCATTGAATATAACTGCTTTTTATACACAGAATATGAGGTATTTCTCCGTTTCTCTTGAACCAATTCTTAATCGAATTATCTTTGTAAATTGTGCACGAATATTATTTTCTTGTCCAACGTTTCCCTAAGCGCGACTGTCTCAACTTGCCACATCCCGATATTTCATATCCGATGACCACGTAACACAGCGACGACGAACACTGCCCGACAATTCGGATTGAAGCAGGCATCCAACTGCGAATCTATACAAATTTTCAGCATACCATTTTTAAAGTAAACTTATCGATTTCCACAAAACAGTGTTTTTCAATCAATGGCAAGTAAGAGGTTTCTATCGAACCGGTCGATAATGGGCAAGTAGACGAAGAAACGGAAAATTAAGAGGGATTGCGAAAAGAAGAGGTACCAATTTCCAACGGTTTTTTACACATTGGGCTTGCTGCTTGAAGTGACGATTGTGGTACTGTTCACTGACTGGATCACTCCTGTGACGAACTCACACAGGTATCATGATTGCGATTCTGTGATATTTGACGTGATAACGACTAAGAGATTTTTCATCAGAGAGAACAGGAAAGTATTGGATATGCTTAGTCAGCCTTGTACAACGCAGTTCTCGGCGGGTAGGTCACTTGGTACTTCAAGGAAGATTGTTCACAATGATATATCCAACTAAACGGTTATCAAAGATTTTCCGAACACTGAGGGTTCTCAAGGAAGGTGCGACCTCAAAATCCATTACTGGTCAATGGATGATGGTGTTTTGAGGAAGAAATCGCCCGTTTAGATGTTAGACGAATTTGTTATTTATCAATCTAAAGGCTGGAAAGAAGATGAATTTGAGCCTACGGTTGACTTGAAGGCTATCTCAAGCCGAGAAGCACAGAAGTTTGGATCAGTTCAGGGTATTTGTCTTAGAGAATACTGGGGTTTCTGGTTCATTACTGAAGTGCAAGATTGATCTGAATAGCGCCTTCGCTGATTTCCAACGAAGAAAAAGCTGTGACAAACGACAATTTGTGATTTTTCTGCAAATAAATTTTCCTAATCCATTCAGGTTTCTGCAGAACCCGTGGGCTATTTAACACTGTAGCTATGGTGGGTCGAGTTACCAATAGCCGTTAACGATAAGTCCTGCTGATGGAAACAAAAGCACTCGATCGACTTATTTGTTCACGTTGACTAGTCCATACAAACAGGTAGAAAATGAATGCCGTTGATCTCTGGTCACTTAATGAGAACAGTGACTCGTGTGAACTTCACGGTCGATAAACACAGCTCAATCTAGCTGGTTTCATATATCAAACACTTGGCAGACAACCTTGCTATCTCCCGGCTCACTCCCACGTCTGATCTACTGAGGCCCTTTGTGGTTTGCCACTTTAAGTCTCATGATCATAGTTGACGGTTTGTTTCACAATATGATTCATGTAAATACACAATCATACACGTACCCGCTCTCTAGCTCGCTCTGATATTCCGGAAAACAATCGTGATTTCGTTACCTTCAACAACATTCGTGGAATGAATCATACTATCGATTATGTCCACCGATTTCTCCAATCTTCTTCTCCTCTTGCCATATTTTTGACCAAAACTCGAATCTCCTCCTCATCAGACATCGCCCAACCCCAATTTCCCAACTACAGCTTTCGCTACTCTTTTTTCCACGAAGTTGGTGTCTGTGCCTTTGTCCACACATCAGTCGCCACATCCAGAATCCACAATCTCGACTTTTCCAATCGTGAATTTCAATTGATGAAGCTGAAGCGCCGATTTCCTTATTTTTACCTCTACTTTGTGTTGTTTACCGTTCATCCAACAGTAGTAACTCATCGTTCTTTGATTTCTTATATTCGAATATAGAGCAATTGGTTTTACGGACCTCTACTGTCATGCCGTCCTCTTAGAAGATTTAAAAGTTCACAATCGACATCGGTTGATTCGCTCATCGGACACTTCGGTTCTGAGGAGAGAAGCCGAAAATTCCGCCGTGGTCAACAATCTGGGCCAACTTGCGTGACCTTCCCACACGTACTCCCGATGGAGCTTGCGATCGTGCCCATACCCTTGATCTTATTCTCACTTCTATTTGTTCTCTCTTTTCAGGCATCACTGCTCTTCCTCCTGATCCTCCACCTACCCCGAGACACATATATTGGCGTTACAGTCTAACCAACTGGGATGGTTTTCGCGATTTCCTAGCCTCCTTTCCCCGGAATTATTCCTGCTGTACTTCGTGAGTTACAATTTTCATTTCTAATTTCGCTGACATTGTTCTTCCAGGTACGCAACCCTTTATTCCCCACTTTCCCAAACCAGAATCTCCCGATTGTTTCAACTACGTATTTGATCGTGCTGTACCTTTGAAGCGTGCAACATTTCGCGTCTGGCGCCACTCGCGCACTCCCGACTCCCATCCTCGCTTCAGACCGAGAACAAACACTTGTCAACCATACAGAAATCCAAAGAACTCTTTGTTCGGTGGAAAACCGAACGCTTACTCTCATCTATTTGTAACCGAACATTTTGATCTCTTACCAATGCAGTTTCCGGCAGTTTTCGCTCTTCTTATTTCCCTTCCATCTGTAGTTTCTCTGGTGATCTCTTTTGTGAATCACACGAGAAAGCCGAGATTTTCACTTCCCGGTCTGCCTCCGATTCCACCTTACCTTTTTATCCTACTCTTCCGGTTCCTTCTCTTCCTTCTTTTGCCCTTTCTCAACCTCATATTAGCACTAAGAAGATCCGCCAAGCACTAGGTTTTCTGGAGGTAAGTAAACCACCCTGTCTGGACGGTATACCATTCATCGTCCTTCAGATATGTGCCCTTGAATCGGCTCCTCTCTTACGTGGTCTTCTTTTCTCTCTCTTTCTCTCTTTTCAACTTTCCACCTTCCCAATCCCGTGGAAACATGCCGTGATATTTTTTTATTCTCGAAGGCGGTAATCTTTCTGACTCGAATAACTATCTTCGTATTTCCCTCACTCATTATTTCGAAAGTACTGGAAACTCTCATGGCCGAACAACTGCGTGCGTTTCTCTAAATCGAAGGACAATCGAGTAATCGCCAATACGGATTCTGACCTCGCCGTCACACAGATGATATTCTGACTCTCGTCTCACACTCCTGGTTGGCTGCACTCGACAACCACGAAAAAACACACATAGTCTCGCTCGACATCTCTGAGGCCTTTGATCGAGTTTGGCACGAAGGTCTTCTGGTGAAACTGCCATCGTTCGGGTTCGCCTCCGCTCTCGCATCGTAGACATCACGTTCCTTCAGTAACTGAACCATCTTCGTTCAAGTTGATGGAATTCCGTCCCAGACATTCTTTTTGAATGTTGGTGTTACCCAAGGTTCAGTACTTTCACCCATCCTATTTATTTTATTTACTAATGATATTCTTTCTACTACTTCCAACCCAATCTATTTTTTTGCCGATGACGTCACCCTTCATTCTTCCTTTTCTTATCGCACTCTCCGCCATGCCAACACCAACATCGATCGTGACCGCAGTGCAATGCGTGCATCTTTCGAGTCAGACCTCGACCACATCTCCTCCTGGGGATCTCACAATCACGTTGAATTTATTGCTTCCAAAACTTCTCTTCTTCCGATTTCTTTGAAACATCATTCATTCTCCCCTAATTTACCCTTTGATTCTAATGTGCCGCCTTCTACAGATTCTATCACTCTTCTTGGCTTACCTATAACTTCTCCTCCGTGTTGGTCCACTTTCATATTTGAGCTCGCCTCTTGTGCTGCGCTCAAAGTTGGTTTTCTGTTTCGCACAAGACGCTTCGTCACACCAGCTCATCTACTGAATAAAACTCAAATCCATCTTGTACTTGAATGTTGCGGTCACCTGTGGAGTGGAACTTCATCTACTTCTCCTTCTTTTCTTGATCGGGTTCAATGAAAGGCCATCCGGCTGATCAGTGATTCTTCTTCAACCTCTAATCTGCGGTCACCAGCTCATCGTCGAGCTGTTGCTTCATTGTCTCTCTTCTATTGGTACTATTTTGGATTTCATCCTTCTGAGCTTGCTTCGGCAGTTCCTCTTTCCAAAACTTTTTTCCGACCGTCAAGTACCCAGGCAACTAATCATTCTTATTAGGTTCTGTCACTAGATGTCACGCTTCTACCTCTCAATCTTCTTTCTTTCCCCGAACCGTCAAATTATGAAACAATATTCCTCTTTCTTTCTTCCCAGACACTTAAAACCTTTTTCTCTTCAAAAGCAGGATGAATAAACTAACTCTAATGTGGGTGTTCTACCACAACCTCCTTTTACAATATGTCTTCTGATTATGTGGATTTACCTTTTATGCTTGAATCCACTTTGGGTGTTACTAAAAATTCACTTCGTTTTTTCACGTGCTGATTGAGCCGCGGGTCTATGTATACGACAAACACGCCAAGTCAACATCTCTGCATATCTACGTAAAGCGAGTCTTTACACAAACGAACGGGGTCGGACTATCTGTGCCCAGATAACAAGCGACATATCTGTGTCTCTACCGGACAAGTTGCATGATCGATTAGAACGGCGAGAGGCGAACCATGAGTAAAATCCACAACCGAGGGGAAAAAGGTCGAATTTCAAGGGGGCCAAACTTGGTCTGTGTGGAGTGGTCTTCGTACAAACCGTGTGTTAAGGCACAACAAAACGTGTGTTGAATTTGTTTAGGCGTCTGACCAGAATGATTGTGAAATGCCTCTGATTACTGCTAATTTGTCCATGATGCCTGTGGACCACGTATTCTGGTGCATAGACAAACCTATTCGCCTTTGTTTATTTGATATCTTAAGCACCGCACCTTCGGTCTTTCGGTATTACTTACATCCCTAGTACCAGGTCCTTTTGACTAGTCCACGTTTATTTCCTCACTGTTCGGATTTCGTTGCCTTTGACATTCGCACTACTGACGCGCCACATCCCTCCTTTGATCTGACACGGAATGCCATCCTCCCTTGGTTGACTTGTGGAACGCTCGAAGACCGGGCCCGTTGTCCACAAAGAAGCCGGATTCTGTTCCTTAGTCATTTGATATCAGTAATACTGAAGAACTGATAGGCAAATGTTGTATTCAGATATGGTGTCTTTTGGTTGATCAGGATAGAGTGCCGTTTCACAGAGGTCTGGTCGTGTAGTTTATAGAAGTGTTTTTTGCCTTCTTAGAGATTTCTGTATTGGAGAAATTATTCTGCTGTTGTTAAGATATACAGTCTCCATAGAACAACAAACCATGGAGACACGATCGATGCCATTGTTCATCCTTTAAAGAATAATTATTGAGAAGATCATCATATGACAAAATACATGTTAGACGGTCTTCGGCTATGTCCTTTGTGTGCAAAACAGCGTCCAGTTATGTCCGAAATGCCAATGAATTCGGGCACGGGAATTCGAAAAACGGAATGTGCCTGAGGTTGGCACATGATGTATGTGTAGAAGGCAGAGATAACAGTGGTATGCTGCTCAAGAAGAGAACAAATCAGAGGAAAATACTCGGGGAGTACTCAAAACGAATGAGACCGATAACAGTGTTCGTGGACCGACAAGCTAGCTGTGTATGTATGCGGGGGTGCAAGCTTGCGCAGCTAGCGGTTCAAAAAAGGGGAAGCTACTAGATGAGGCAAGTCGGGTACACACAAGTTAACCGGGGCAGAGAAAAGACAGTCCATGAATTGCCAAGTCAACTGCATATATATATATATATATATATATATATATATATATATATATATATATGCGTGTATGTAATATAGATGCCGACAGCCTTAATGCCGTATTTATTCATTCTTCGTCGGATATCTTATCATCCCATTTTCCTTCCTTTCCACCAGATATAGAGCCATTTTCCTCATCAGAAGTCTGCGGATTTCTTCGAACTTCAAGATCAGCTTCGGCTGTGGGTTCTGATGGTTTAGCCTCCACTGTTCAACTATCCGCAATTATGACTTCCCTCATCAATGAATCTGTTGACGCTGGTGCTATTCCTGCCTCCTAGAAACTCGTGGAATGCGTATCTGTTTCCGAAAGTCCTACCTCTAACGTTTTGTCAAAACTTTTTCGTCACATCGCCATCACTTCTTCCGCCCTCAAGTTGATCTAAAGCACCATCACTATCGTCGATTGCACACAAAATAGGTGGCTTTCGTAGTTCCTGTTGATTTTATCCTAAATATCCCAAAGTTTCTCACTTCACTTGCAAAAGAACACACTACCGATACACAATGCGTCGCAAGTCCTGGAATGCATCCATTTTTCCAGCAACCTTCTATTTCTGCGTCTAACATTGTTGTACCCTCCACCTTGTATGATCTGTTTCCTAAGTATCTTCTGATTGTTCTTTTCTCTCATTGACGGGGCCTCTTGAGAATATCCTGAACGAACATTTCCTTTCCGGCTTTCCATCGAGACAGATCTCTTGTGAGACGATCGCATTCTGCTTTTCTTTGTATCTTCACCGATGTAGACAGTGCTGTGTGCCATATGGAGGCCGTACCATTGGTTCTAAATGGTCACACACTGTAAGCGTCAATGTGAATTTCTCCTGAAAAGTCTGTGTACCAGGTTACACTCAACTGCATTTGGAAAGCTTCATTGTGCAAGTAACATCACGCAGTGGTTGCCTCAGGGTTCCTTTGCTAAGGTTAAAATATTCTTCATCACCTCCTCGTTTAAATGACCTTGCCATCAGATTGATTATGTGAAGGGGGCTACTATTAAGGTGTTCTTCAGTCTATTTCTGGTAAAATGGTCGAAATTCTGCTATCCAAAATTGGAGTCTATTGTCAGAAAAAGCTTCGTCAGAAATGCTGTGGCCGCAGAATTGAGCGCTTAGTTGGTTAATCACCTGATTTGTTATTGCCATGGTCCACTTCGAAATAATAGTAATGGTAATAATCCACAAGAATATGGCATTGTTCCTTTTCATCTTCGAAGATATACTTGACCGCATGTTCCCACGAGTGAGCAGGCAGTTCCACTAATAACATAGTGTCCTTCACTTGTCTGCTTTCAAGAGTGCAACATAGCTCATACTGAGTTATAAACTCTTTCACTAGCTTGCCATTCCGGGCAGTAAAACAACGTCTACTCCCCGTTGAGGTCGGGATGTGACAAATGGAGGTAACTCATCAATTCGCCTTGAAGTAGCTCTGTAATACTAGGCAAGCTCCCTTGAGTATGAATCAGTTTTCAAAAAAGAAAATTTTTGGACCGCTGAAAAGATACTGCTGTCGGCGTCGGTAAAGTTCATTTTGCCCTAAACCATCCGATAAAAACTATATAAGCAAGTCGTCGGAGTGTATCATCACTGGCAGTCGATTTGAGTGCGTATGCTGATCCATGGTCGG